AACCGTACCCCTTGCCTATACTTGGGTCAAAGGTTTAGGATGCTGCCCTCCAACTCCGCGCATAGCTTTTTAAGTATCACGTTGCTATCTCGGAAGTCAGGAATGTGCAGAGGGGACTAATCAAGCTCTAGAATGACACAACGGCTTTCAGGGTCTAGGGTCGGGGTTTAGTTTGATTGGAGCTTACATGTTAAAAGTTAGGGCGTAGGCCTAGGCCTTCCGGTGTCGGAAGACCGCTGAACTCTGAGATAGCCGCGGGCCACAAGCTCCATGTCGTTGTCTAAATCCAACCTCAAGTTCACATCATATCTCTGGGACTTCAGTGCTCCGGGTTCAGTTTTAAGGGTTGCGGTTCCAGTATGGCTTCGTGAAACACTTCTGGTTAGGGAACCCTGCTTAGACCAGATTGCAATCTCAAGAACACTCCCCCGCCTGTTGATATCAGTTCGACAAAGGGCTCCCTTGATACTCAAGAGCCTCAGCATGATTAATGGACCATCCTCTAAGGAGGTGATTCTAGAGTCGGTGGGAAGTCTTGGACCTATCTCTGTAGTCAAAACCCCTTTAAACCCTACACCCTGCCCTCAAAACTTACCATGCCTATGCCTCAACTTTCAACCCCTAGGATACCCAGTAACCTAAGAATAAAAAGGCCTCTCTTTTTGGTATTGGGTAACTTTATAAGGAACCTAGGACTACAAAAAGGGAATAAGGGTACTACTGGGCATCCTAGACCCTGCTCCCGAAGCCCACGAAGAGTAAAGAATCGGCTCACGGGTTCAGGGCTGAGGGTTTAGGGGCCTGGCTTTGGGATCCAGGGTTTGGGTTGCTATTATTACTATTATTACTATTAATATTCTTACGATTATTACTATTATTACTATTATTACGATTATTACTATTATTACTATTATAACCATTATTACTATTATTACTATTATTTCTATTCTTTCTAATATTACAAGATCTACGACTGGGGTCTGGCTTGGAGCTTGAGGTTTGGCAGCACTCGGGTTTAGGGTTTAGGGTTTATGCATGCGTCCATTGCGGACTGTCCCGAAGCAACAACTTGAAGACTAGCTACAACACTACGTCTTCAGTGTGCCTGACAGTGGGCACAAACGCATGAAAGATCACAACCCGAAACCCTAAATCCTAAACCCTCAAGAGGGTCCTTAAAATGTCAGGTGTTTAGGGTTTAGGTTGGCTCGAAAGCTGCTCTGAACCCGAAACTTAAACAAAGCTCACCCATACTGGGGTTTGGGGTTTAGTCTACGCACCTTGAATCGTGCATACTTCCCGCAAGCATTGCTTTGAGGTGTCTGGGCCCTTGGGGCCTAGAATTCAGGTCAGGGATTGGGCCCTGAGTTTGCTTTTAGGGTATACTATTCTACGCTTAGATCTCTGAAGAACTTCCAACCCTAGTGCCTAGACCACATATACAGTGAACAAACCTCAACCCCATAACCACATTTCTTGCAAGCCCACTTAGCCAAGGTAACTACATCAAAATTGCACTAAATCCTAAACCCTGTGCATAACCCCAGATCTAACCTTACTACCTCGGTCCCTGGCTCCGTTAAATCTTGAGAAACCCCTTGGTAAAATCCGTGTTGAGCCCGGAAAACCGTCAAAACACCCAAAAACACGATTGTCGAAAATTTCTAGAACCTTCCAACATCCTAAACCCCAGATTACTAAACCCTAATTAAACCCTAAATTACTAAACCCTAAACCCTAAATTATTAAACCCCAAACCCCTAAACCCTAAATTACTAAACCCTAAGCCTAAACCCCAAACCCTTGAAAAGGCGGGTTTTGAAGCCTGAAGCCCGCGGACGCCCCAAGGATCCGGCTCGAGGTCCAGCCTCTTACAGTTGCTCTCGGCCATGCTACAGACCTGGCATTTGAGGTTTGGTTTGGGGTTTGGGTTTGGGGTTCAGGGTTTAGGGTTTAGGGTTTGGGATTTAGGGTTTGGGGTTTGGGGTTCAGGGGTTTTGGGGATTTAGGATGTGAGTAGCTTACGAGGTTCCTGACTAGCCACATTATAATAAGGGTACCCTGTTTTCCTACTATTCCGCTTTAATAAGGGAACCCAAAAACAAAAAGGGCAAAAGGGTCCTACTCAGGAACCTAGAAGTAGCTTATAAGCAGGGCAAGGTTCAGGATTCAGGATGTAGGGTCTAGGTTGTAAGCTTCAGGGTTTTAAGCCTTCAGATTTGTTCACGTTGGGCTTCACGGTGTTTTGTTTCGCGCCGTCCTCGTTTTGTGCTCAGTTTCGGATGTGGGATTTACGGTTTAGGGCTTTAAGGCTTCCTCGTTTGAAGGCTTCAGGATGGGGGGTTTGACTATGTCGATGCTGAATCTGCGCTTTCTCTGTACAAGGGTAGCTCTCTTAATTGAGGTCTCTTTTAGGATCCATTCTACAAGCTTGAGAATGCCCGAGGAAGAGGTTGTTGTTGCAAGCGTTTCAAGGTTAAGACCCTAAAACCCTAAACCCGTAAAAACCCCCAAAACCCCTGAACCCTAAACCCCTAAACCCCAAGCCCCTAAACCTAAACCCCTAAACCCTAAACCCCTAAACCCCAAGCCCCTAAACCCCTAAACCCTAAACCTAAACCCCTAAACCCCTAAACCCCCAAACCCCAAACCCCTAAACCCTAAACCTAAACCCCTAAACCCCTAAACCCCTAAACCCTAAGGCCCTAAGGCCCTAAGGATCCAAGGTGCGGGGGACTTTCGGTTTCAACACGCAGCAGTCGCAAACTCTGGATCAAGTTAGCCTTTAGACCTAAGAGTAACCTAGGAAGGAAAAGGGTGCCCTTCTTGGTTTAAAGGGGGTTTTAAGGCAACCTAAACCCTAAAAAAAGAAACAAGGGCCTACTCTGGGTCCTAGGCTTTCAGAGATCGCCGACCTCTTCGGTCAATCGGGCGTCTGTCTCTTCACATCTTATGTTTTGAAGGGGGGGGCGATTTTTTTACTCCCAAAAGCGGCTGAAGATGGACACCCGAAGCTCCGAAAACCCAGAAGCAGCGCCAAAACCACTTAGGATCAGATGTGGGGTTCAGGGTGTAGCCTTTGGGGGTTTAGGGTTTAGTTCATTGGGCTTATGGGGGTTTAGGGTTTAGGGTTCGGGGTTGCATGAGGTTCTGGTCTTCGATGATAGCAAAAGACATACTCGAAACACAATGAAAACAAGAGTTTGAAAGAATTGACTCTACCATACTCGACCCTGTGGACCCCTTTGATAGCCCCCAAGCACCACGGCCTAGGTCCCTGAAAATTCAATCGCGCACAGCGCTGCCGCATCGTAGTTCTCTACCTGAGGCGAAGACATTTTGCTGATCGTAATGACGGCGAGGATGATGTTCAGGCTTTTGGGTTTAGGGTTTTGGGATTGCGGGCACAGCACAATGTTACGAGCTTCTGGGGACGGCATGGTCAAGTTCATACATCCGCAGAGCCAAATTATCTTGAAACACTGCGTCGCACCATGTAGGCCGCTATGCTTCTTCTAAATGGCAAACAACTGCATTACATTAAGTACCCTGCAGTACCCCAAACTATCGCAATCACATAGTTCCCCCGGCTGCGCATCATGCAGGGCTTTGTCCATGAGCGGCATACCTCTTCTAAATTCTAAACACACCCTAAACCCATTCAGGGGTTGAGTCTAGGGTTCAGGGTTCCGTAGAGGGTTGTTTAGAGGGGCTAATAAGCCTATAACAGCTCAGGGTTTTGCGTTGCCCGGTGCACGATGTAGGGTTTAGGGCTTGGGGTTCGGGGTCTGGGTTTAGGGTTTAAGGTTTCGGGGCTTCTGTGCTCTCCGCTGGTTCGCTTCACAAGCATGCCCAGAGCCTCCAAAACCCCTTAATTAAGGAATATACCTTAAATCCTATTAGGGATCCTTTTATGATTTAAGGTATATTCCTTAATTAAGGGGTTTTGGAGGCTCTGGGTGCAATGCGCGCGCCCTTTTTCACGCGCTGACGGTCGCTTTCCGTGTGCCCCATTAGGGGCTTGGGCTCTATGGGATTAGGGGCTTGGGCTCTAAGTTTAGGGTTTAGGGTTTAGGGGGCTCTAAGGCTTCTTAAGCGATTTGGGGTCTCGAGCTTGTTAATGTTGCTTTAACCCTCCTTTTCCAGCCGCAGGGTTCAGGGTGTTACGGTGTAAAGGCTGTGGGGTTTAGGATTTAGCTTTGCCAGAAGGCCTTACCCTTCAACCCAGGGCCCTTCCTGCAATGGCATTATTGCTCTGTTTGGTTGATTACGAGGTCTGCATAGTGCTCCTTGGAGCTTCCTGTCAAGTGCTGGCACAATGTTACATTTGCGTTCCAAACATTCCTGAGACTTGATTCTTCTTGCAAATTCATGATAGTTACCAAGGTTCCTGAGCCTGCAGCATGAACATTTACGTAAGTTCTTACATATTTACAAAGGGGTACGGAAAGACACATATCTGTAATGTAAACACATACATACATTCATGCATCCCTCCATCAATCCATCCATCCATCCATCCATCCATCCATCCGTTGATTCATTGATGCACTCATCCATCCCTCCATCCCTCCACGCATCCATTCATTGATTCATTGATTCATTGATTCATTTATTCATTCATGCACTCATTCATCCATCCATTCATTCATTAAACGATTCATTAATGCATTGATTCACTCCCTCATTTCACGTCATTCATTCATTCATTTCACTTCATTCATCCCTTCTTTCATTCACTTCAAGTCATGCAGGCAGTCGTTCTTGCTTTCTTTCTTTCGTTCATTCCCTCATGCCTTCATTCGTTCGTTCATTCATTCTTTCCTTCCTTCGTTCAGATGATTGAAACATACATCCAGGCTTACGCCTGCACAAGGTCAGGGTCTACTAGGATACCCAGTAACCTAAGACTAAAAAGGCCTCTCTTTTTGGTATTGGGTAACTTTATAAGGAACCTAGGACTACAAAAAGGGAATAAGGGTACTACTGGGCATCCTAGTCTAGGACTGCAGGAATCTGGCCCCCAGCTTCTCGTCCTTCAGGGCCTGGAACAACCTACACTGAACTTAGATCCCTAGCAAAAATTATGATTTTAGCTGCTTCTTAAGGAATAAAGGAACCATAGAGTTAAAAAAATCAAGGAACCAAACATCTAAAAAAATAGTTCTAAGTACCCCTAAGCAACAGACCTTCCGGCGAGCACCGCCAGAGGGGCGGAGCGCAGGCAGCAGAGGCGCTCAACACCTTCGCAGCCCGGGCCCGCGGCCAGCGATACCTAGGCTTGAGGGCTTGGTTTCACCCAGAGAGCCCAATACCCCTTTATTAAGGAGTATGGTTTAAATTGTATAGGGCTTCATGCTATGATTTAAGCTATATTCCTTAGTTACGGGGCTTGAAGGCTTTGTTTCAAGTGTATTTAGGGTTTGGATTTCGGGGTTGGGGTTGTGTTTACGATTTAGGGTTCAGGGCTGGATGCGGTTCTGGTTTTGGGCCAGGACGGAGAAGCCACCCTCAAGCAACTGCACGAAGTGAATTGAACGATAAGAGACGATGATTCTAGATGCCTCAAAAGCATGGTTGATGATAGTAACATAGGGGCCTTCGTAATTAGAACAAGGTTTTGCGGTTCATTATACCATAATTATAAAAAGGAACCCCAAAATAGTATTGGTAATTGATAAGGCCCCTTTACTACTAATCCCCGATGCCCGAAACCCTGAACTCTTTCGGCTCAGCGGCCGCCATGCACCCGCCGGTCGCCCCCGCCGTTGCAGCACACAGATGCGGAGGTTGCCGAGCTGCACCTTGGCCTCGAAGGGATTGCCTGAGCTTTTGGTTCTAGGGTTTAGGGTCAAGGGTCGGGGATTTAGGATTTAGGGTCTACGGGTTTAGGGGTTTAGGGGTTTAGGGTTTAGGGATTTAGGATTTAGGGTTGAGGGGTTTAGGCTTGGGTCTCTTGGGGCTTGTGTGTTTAGGCTTGGGGCTTGGGGAGTTTGGGGGCTTGGGGATTTACGGTTTTAAGTTCTAGGGTTAAGGATCGAGGGTCTAGAGTTTAAGTTTTCCTGGAGTAAGAAACCATGCTATTGACCATAGATACCCAATAAGGCAAATTACAACTAGGCTTGTCCTACTTACAAACCCACTTATAACTAGCCATGAACCTCCAAGCAGAGCCCTTATAGAACAAACCCGAACCTCATCAGCCCTACTTATAACCAGCCATGAACTTGCAAGTAGAACCATGTGGAGCCCTAGAGCCCTTATAGAACCCTTTTTTCGCCCTTATAGATCCCGTAGAGGAACCTGATAAACACCACTTATAACAACCATGAACCTCAAAGCAACCCTAGCCTTGGGACTCTACCTGGAGGGTCGGGGGACTTAGTAAGTAGTTATTTTATAGAGTTATAAGTACCATAACCCCAATTAAGGTCCCTTTCAGGGTACTTATAAGTCTACTTGCTACCTACTTACTAAGTCTCCCGACCCTCGCCTCGAGAGGTGGGATGAAGGGAGGTGGGATTAAGGATCCCTTCTACAAGGACTCTTGTTTTGGGATTACCCCAGCTACCTTCATCCCACCCGAGACTCTAAACTAAAGCCTAAAACCCTGAACCTTAAACCCTAAACCCTCAAGAAAGAAATAAATAGAAATTGCTTGTCGTTGCTGGTGCCAGCCCAGCCCAGCCCCAGCCCCAAGCCCCACTCAGCCCAGCCCAGCCCACTTCCCCAGAACCAGAGCCCCAGCCCCAGCCCCACCGGCCAGCCCAGCACAAAATTTTTCAAAATCTGGCTTCAGCCAGGCTTCAGTCAGAAAACTGCATTGGCACCCAAGCCCTTAACACTGCTTTAGTCGGAAAAGCTTCGGTCAAAACGTTTCGCTCAAAACGTTTCGGTCAAAACGTTGTTGGCACCCAAACCCTAAACAATTTCTATAAACCCCAAACCCTAAAACCCTAAACCCTAAACCCTAAACCTCTAAAACGTAACCCCAGCCTTCAGACTCCGAGTTGCCGACGTTTCCAAACGTCAGCACATCGACGACTTCGAAGCGCAGCGTCGCTTGGTCGCGATTGAGCCGCTGTTCGTCATCCTTAGCTGGGAGTTTCCGAACCCAGAGAGCCCAATACCCCTTAATTAAGGAATATGGCTTAAATTATATAGGGCTTCATATTACGATTTAAGCTATATTCCTTAATTAAGGGGTATTGGGCTCTCTGGGAACATAGGGGACCCTAATATAGTACCCTAAATAGTAGGATCCTTGTTATAAGGACTCCGAAACAAGGTACCCCTGATTTTCGGAAACTGCCAGCTCTGGATTAGGGTTCAGGGTTGAGGGATTTAGGGTTTAGGGGTTTCGGGTATAGGGTTTAGGGGTTTAGGGTTTAGGGTCATCCTGAACTCTGGATTACTCCACAGGACAGCAAAAGTCTTCCCCCAAATAGAGTTGAAGAGTCCAAAAGTTTAGCAGTTTTTAGGCTCAGGGTTAAAGGGCCTCTGGATGGCCTAAAACGAAAACACAGTTCCTCGAGCGATTTACTTAGAAAAGCTTGCCTGTCAAAAGGAAGAAAGGAGCTTGGAAAAGGGGCTTAAGTAATTACCTATACTATTTTGGTGGTCCCTTATCTTATTTATCGCAAATAACGGCCCCCAAACCCTATTCTAAGTGTTAAGGCCCCTATATTAGAGAAGTTGCTGCTCCAAAACCCAGGATCTGGGTCAAACTCCTCTTTACCACACGGCCACAGCCATGCAAAGTCTCGGGTACCAACCCTTTCAACCAAATCTAGCACTTTCAGAAACACCGCTGGAGGCAGGTATGCCAAGAAGTTGGCGACGATCACGTCGAAAGCCATGCCGCCGCTCGCTGCGAGAAGCCTTGCTGCAGTAGTCTCCGTCTCGATCAAGTCTGCCGGGACCACTTCGAAGGAGACGTTATTCAGCTTCTTGTTGGTATCAATCAGCCGCAGCTCCTGGGAGTCTCAGGTCAACGGTTCAGGGTTCATCGTTTAAGGTTCCGGGTTTAGGGGTTAGGGGTTTAGGGGTTTAGGGTTCAGAGTTTAGGATTTAGGGTTCAGCGTTTTTAGGGTTTAGGGCTTATGTTTCAGGGTTTCAAGTTTAGGGGTTTAGGAGTTCAGCGTCAACTCTGGCTCCTGGGGGTCTTGCTCCATGGCGACCACTCGGTGGCCCAGCTTGGAAAGGACCACGGAGTCGAGGCCTTAAGAAAGTAACCCCTGAAACCCTAAACTCTTATGGAGCCCTTTGAAGGAACATACCCTCATAGTAACCCCCACAAGGAACCCTTATAGTACCCTTATGGTAACCCTTTAAACGAACCCCTTAGGGTACCCCGTATTCTCGGAAAACTCCCCCTTGGAAAAAGGACCACGGAGTCCAGGCCTTTCCCCGCTCCGAGATCCACGGCCCACAGATTTCGGCGGCTCCTTGGGGCCTCCAGAAAGGGCTCCTTGGGTCCAAAAGAAACCCCGATGTTCTGTTATAATGTGGGTTTAGGGTCTGGGGTTGGGGGTTGAGGGTTTAGGGTTTAGGGCTGAGGCTTTAGGGTTTCTGAGGGTTTAGGCTTTAGGGTTGAGGGTTTAGGGTTTAGGGTTGAGGGTTCAGGGTTTAGGGTTGAGGGTTTGGGTTGAGGGTTTAGGGTTGAGGGCCCCCTTTTTCCTAATATGTGGTTTATTATGAGACCCCAAACCAAAAAAAAGTGCAAAAACGGCACTACTCAGAAAACTCGTCTCGAGTAAGTGCCCTTGCGTGAGCAAGGCTGCGAAGTGGGGCTCGTACTCGTAGTCTGAGGGCTTGAGATGGGCAGACAACACGGGAAGGCCAGGAAATTGTAGGCGAACGCGCCTGTGCAGAGGGAAGCAGGTGGTACCAGGCCCATATCTGTAGTGGCAGCAAGCCCGAGGGGGTCCTGCACTGGTGTCACCATCCCAGCATTGAAGTGACTGAGCAGGACCTGCACAACAGCACTGTCGATAGGAGTGCTTTAAGAAATCATCCGGATACTCATGCCACCAGCAAAGCTTCGCTGAGTTCAGGCTTGCCCCTTCACGGAGTCGCGCCGACCATGGCAGAAAGATGACATCTGTAGCCGCAGCAATCTCCTCTTCGCTGACTTGACAAACGACGCCCGGCAGCAAAACGAGACATGCCAGCCCGCTCGCCGCGATGCTGGCCGCTAACATTGCCAAAGGGTTGAAGGTTTAGGGGTTTGGGGGTTATATAGGGGTTCAGAGGTTTAGAGGTTTAGGGGTTTTGGGGCCTAAGGTTTTAGCGGTTAAGGGTTTTAGGGCCTAAGGCTTTAACAATAATTTGAGAAGGGCTTGGCGGCTTTGAGGGCTTAAGCCTTTTGCAGTAGAGTGGCAAGGAGGTTCATTCCTGAAGCGCCGGGGGGCACCCACAGCAGATGGGATCAGGGTTCTATGGATTATACAGGGCTTCCATCATCTCGGCTACCCAGAGAGCCCAATACCGGTTAATTAGGGAATATAGCCCAAATCATAATATGAAGCCCTATGTAACTCAAGCCATATTCCTCAATTAAGGGGTACTGGGCTCTCTGGATACTTTTTAAACGTGATATGACCGGATAGTGGGGCTTTCTGTGCAAAAAACAAAACCTAGACCTAAGAGTAACCTAAGAATAAAAAAGGGTGCCCTTTTTGGTTTAACGGGGGTTGTAAGGAACCTAAACCCCAAAAACAAGGGAATAAGGGCCTACTCTGGGTCCTAGGAACCTAGGGCAGTTGCCCCAGCCAGAGCAGCTGTGCAGCGAGACTCTAAATCTGCATCTCAGCCCTCAGTTCAGCTTTTGCTGAGGGACACAACTTGATCACAATCGAGAGAGAGAGAGAGAGAGAGAGAGAGAGAGAGAGAGATATATATATATATATATATATGTGCACGAATATATATATATATATATATATATATATATATATATATGACCATATATATATATATATATATATATATATTGTTTGTGTGTGCGCGTGTATGTATGTATATGTGGAGACATATTGTGAACCATAAAGTCTCCTCATTCTCAAACCATCGCATTTGCTCCATTAAATCAGCTCCTTGACAAGAGACCAGCGAATGCCGAACCCCTGAACCCTAAACTCTGAACCCCTAAACCACTAAATCCCCAAGCCCCTAAGCCCTAAACCCCAAACCCTAAACCCCTAAAGCAAAAAACCCCTAAACCCTTAAACCCTCAGGATGGACACGGAACCTTCAAGCCTTCAAAACCCCCGAAGCTTGAAAGCTGCGGAACCCGCGAAGATCTGACCCCGTGCCTCCAACTCCCCCAACTCCCCAACTCATTCATTTCCCCAGAGTTTAGCGTATAGGGTTTCGGGTTGAGGGTTTAGGGTTTGAGGGGTTAGGGCTAGGGTTTGTGGCTCCACCCAAGAACCTCCAAGTAAGAATCTACAGATGGACCAAACCTGAAACCTTCAAGCAAGAGGGCTTCGTAGATTGCTCCTGGGGTTTAGGGTCTACGGGCGGGGTATGAGTTTTGCCATGTTTTGTCAAACCCTAATCCCTAAACCCTGGACCCTAAAACCCTTTTGGCGTCTCCGAACTCTGGGCGCATCTCCAACGGCCACAAGCAACAAAAAGCACGAGCCTTCAAACGTAACTCCTGACAACAAACTGAATTTACATAGGTGCCTTCGACATTAGTCAGATGATCCGAGTATACTCCCCATGAAAGCACATGGTATGATGTACCCCGAACCCTGGCTCGTATCACTAACGTAGGGTTGGGGGTATATGTGAGATATGGGAGTCTCCGAAAATCAGTGAAAGAGTTACCATACTATAAGGGTACTATAAGGGTTCCTTTAACGGGCTCTATAATGGGTTTAGAAATTTCCGAAATTAGTGGTACCTTATTCTGGGGTCCGTATAAATAAGAATCCTACTAATTATTTAGGGCACTATATGAGGGCGCCCTGATTTTCGGAAACTACCAGATCTTTCAATCCTAAAAGGCTTTTCGGGTTGAGGGTTCAGGCCTTTCCCTAACCTCTAGACACACGAATCGTTGCGCGAACCCACAATCTAAAACCCAAAAAGTATGAACCCCGAACCCAAAACATCCCTGCACGGACCGCTCCAGGACCCCGGTAAAGGGGTTTTGACAATTAGGAAGGATTCGGTGGATATGATTTTCCTCTATACGTATCCCTAAACCCTAGGCCCTAAAAGCTTTCCCGATCAATGAATAACAACCTCTAAGTAACCCGTGAAGGAACCCTTCTAGAAGAACGTAAGTATTCCGACAACTTCCCCTCAACCCCAAACCCGAAGCTCTCTAAACCCCTAACGCCTAAACCCTAAACCCTAAACCATAAACCCTAAACCCTAAACCCTCTAAACCCTCTAAACCCTAAAGGCTTCGAGGGCCCCGGCAGAAGCCACCAAGGAGGGCAGATAGACCAAAGAAGCTGGCGGATCTGCTCCTTTTAAAGGCTTAGGGCTTTGGGTTTAAGGGCTTTGGGCTTAAGGGCTTAAGGGCTTTAGGGTTTAGGGTTCAGGGCTTAGGGTTGAAGGGCTTTAGGGTTCAGGGTTTAGGATTTAGAGGTTTAGGGCTTTAGGGTTTAGGGTGCTGGGCCTTAGCTTAGGGTTTAGGATTTAGAGATTTAGGGCAATAGGGCTTAGGGTTACGATTTACGGTTTAGGGCTTACAGGGCTTGGGGTTGGGGTTTAGCGTTCAGGGTTTCGGGTTTAGGGCTTAGGGTTTGCAGTTCTGGGCGTAGGGTGTAGGGATTTGACAGCGGTTGTTTCTTAGCTTATCTAAAGAGCTAAAAGGGCCCCAAAAGATGCCAAACTCCATGCATGGCGACCCTGAAGAGCCATGCCAAAGCTGGAAACAGAAAGATCACATGACAAGCGAACCCACAGAACACCCTGTAATCACCATGAAAAAAACTCCGTCCCGCAACCACACATCTACCCTAAACCCTAAACCCCTAAACCCCAAGCCCTAAATCCCTAAACCCTAAACCCTAAACGAGCACATGCAGACAGCAGGAAGCTGCTCCAAGGCGCCATCGGTGCTCCAGGGAGATCGGACACAGCAAAAAAAAGAAATTGTAGTGGTGCTATAGTGCTGCCAATAATGCTCCAAAGTGCGCTGAGCAAGGAGAGTCCCCAAGAAGAGTTCTTGCAAAACCACAGGGGATAACATCCAGTTCACATCTAGAGCCCAGAGGCGGGTGTTTTTTGGCCATAGGCAGATTTTCAAACAGAAGCCAGGGGGCAGAAAACCTGGCATACCGAAGCGGAGGCGGTTCTGCTCCAGGCTATCAAGTCGCGGCGTTCCTTCTTCAGGGAGGCCATCTCTGCAAGCAGCTTTGCCTCCAGCTTGGTCACCGGGCGGCACTGGTACTGCCAGTACTGGGTGATCTCGCTTGTCGTGTACAGGCCTTCGTATCGCTGGAGGCACTCCGCCCAGGTCAGGGCGGAGTGGTCGTCAGGGTCAACTCGCCCAGACCCCTGCACTCAAAACACGAAAGTAGGCCTTGATCACAGAACATGGTGCTGAGCTTGGCCAGTTCTCTAAATTAGGTCTCATCAGGATCCCTTAGTAGGAGGGTGCCGTACTACTTGGGGGGGCCTGACAAGGGCTCATTTAGAGAACTACCCATATACATGGTCCCATTGTGCTGTGAGGAGTTGCTTCGGAGCCCCTAAGCAGTAACATGCGGGCCTCAATAAGTAGTAAGGCCCCTATAGAAACATTGATTGTTATTTCGAACCCTAAACCCTGAAACCCTATGAAACCCTAAACCGAAATCCCAGAACCCTAAACCCCTAAACCCTGAAGCTGTAAACTTGTATTAGCCCAGAAGCCCAAGGAGGCCAGCCATCGCAAGACAGAGCACTTCCTCGGCTCAACAACATAGGGGCTTCTCACCTTTGGGGCTTAGCTAGGAAAGGTTCCTTTAAGGGTTCCCTTAAGGATTCTATTATAAGGTGTTTAGGGTTTAGGGCTTAGTTAGGGAAGCCATCTTTACGGCTTAGTTTCGGATTTAGAGTTTAGGGTTTAGGGTTTAAGGGTTTAGGGTTTAGGGGGATGTTTGGCTAAGGATGTTTAAGGCTTACGGCTCAGCGCTCAAAACCCCGAAGCTCGCTTAAACCCCCGAACATCTTCGGGGCTCGGGATTAAACGACCCTTATCCCCTAAACACCAACACCATGCTAAGGCCGGGCTTAGGCTTCGGTTTTTCAGGCATGGAGTGCAGACGTTGGTGGCTAGCAATTGGGAGGAAACGATCACCATCAGCAGATAGGCCCGAAGTAGACATCAAAAACAACAAGGCTCGGCAATCGAAACAATACACCGATGCACATTCGATACCCCTAAACCGTAAGCCTTAATTCAGCAAAACGCTAAACCCCTAAACCCTAAACCCTAAACCCCTAAACCCTAAACCCCTAAACCCTAAACCCTAAACCCTAAATACCCTAAACCCTAAACACCCCCCACCGAGACTCTCAAAAGCTGCTTCACGGCCGAAGCGCCAAACCTGAAACCCCCAGACCCTGAACCCGAAGCCCTAAACCTTAGAAGGGGCCCCCACCCTGTAATAGTGGTTTAATAGGAATATCATAGGGCCCTAATATAATCCTTATAGTCACTACTACAGGGTGGGGGCAGCTTCTAACCTGAACCCCTAAACCAGTAGCCCCTTCAAACCCTCACTCAATAAAAACGAAAAATCATTAATAAAAAACATAAACCCCAAACCATACAACCTCAAACCTAAATTATAGACTATAAACCCTAAAGTCAAAACCCGAAACCCGAAAACACTAAACCCTAGAACTCGGAACTTGAAGCCGTCTTCCCTACCCCTAGGCCAAGCTGCAGTGCGACCATGTCCGATGCCTGGGTCTTCGTACTGTTGATGGGCAAAATCCTGCATGACCCTAAGGACTAAAAACTATGGGAACTATGGTATATTCCTTATAATGGGTAGTGCAGGATTTTGTCCATCAACAGTATCGCTGGGCGGCACAGAATTTAGGGTTTAGGGCTTGGGGTTCAGGGTTTGGGGCTTACTTGGAGGGTCGGGGGACTTAGTAACTGGTTATTTTGGGGACTTATAAGTACCATAACCCCAATTAGGGTCCCTTTTAGGGTACTTATAAGTCTACTTACTACCTACTTACT